CTATTTCAAGTTATTTATTATTGACATAACATGCATTATTTGCTTACATTTAGCATATATCAGCTGTTAAGCAACAAAATTTATGTCGATTGAAAAATTTACTACAAATTGTGAGTTGAAACAATACTTTCTGAAAAGAATATTTGAGTTGAAAATTTAAATTCAACTGAAAGTACTGAGCTAGTGAATTTTTTCAGACATTAAATTCATAAAAATTGTACTGAAAATTTTTTTATATTTTGAATTAACGCAATGTACTAATTACGTTCCATCATAGACTTGTCAAAAATATGTGAATAATACAAAAAATCACATGATTCAATTAATAAATTGGAATATTTATTCAAATTTTAGTTTTTCTGCTGTCTTAAAAGTAAAGAAATTGTCGTAACTGATATCAATAAAAATTTTGACAAAAGTTACTTGTTAGTTTTTTATTGATTTTGAGTTGTCCAAACAAATTTAATAAAAACTTGAAAACTTTTCTGCTTCCTTGATATGTACTCCAAGTAATAATTTCCTTAACTTATTTTTTTGGCATAAAACAATTTGGAAAATATTCACTTGAAAGCTTCATGTGATTATATTCAAAACATAATTAACATATAAATTAAATTAATAGCAGTCATTTGCATCTTTCAAAATGTACATCAAAAATTTGAATAACTGAATAAAATAATATAAAGTAACATTAAGAAAGAAGAAAAAATAATTTATTATACAATTCAATAATTAGAAAAAGTTTTTTGAATGATGAAGTTTCTACTGTTTTCAGCAGGATTTTTGAAAAACAAACAAAACTATAATAAAATAATAAATCATAAAAACAATAATAAAAGTTTACAAAAGATTATGAAGTAATTTAAGAATTACAAAACTCGCTAACTCAGCATTATGTATATTTATAAAAATTATTCAAAAAACCAGTTAAAAATTAAAGACTACTGGAATTTATCGTTAATAGACAAGCTTCATTTTTACTGTTGGCTAGAATTATTGCCACTAATAATTAAGCATTTACCTTTAATTTACATCAGAATCACGTTTTTTTTGCAAATAACCGTGAACAATATTTATTTTTTGCTTACAATTAAGATCATTGAGTTTTTTCAGAATACTTAAGTAAAAATAAATTTTACCACTGCAAATTTGCAGTTTAAATGTATACAACATTTAGCTAAATTGAAGAATGAAATTAAACAGATAATTTTTCTCGAATATTATCTCTATGCTCAAAAATATCAAGTTAAAATTGTTATGATTAAAACTAGTACTAGAAAATAACTTTTAGCTCATAATATTACTTATGCTCACAAAAATTACATACTATTTAAATTACTTTTATTTAATAGAGTGGTGTATTAATTTTTTCTTAGTACCAAAACAAACTATCAATAAGTAAAGTTATTCAATCTAAAAAATTACATTAAACTCATCACCGTCCGAATTAAATATGAAAGTTAATCATTAATCACAATATACGTTTTTATTTAGTAATTTCCAAAACAATTTTTTTGGGATACAAATATTTTTTAAACCAAAAGTACTTATAACCTGAATAATTTGATCCCAGTATAATATTAAGCAACTGAAAATTTAATACCAGAAGTTTTGTTTACTACTTACTTTATTTACGAAAACATTAGTTTTAATATTAAATCGCACGTGAATTTTACTTGATTAATTATTTTCAGAAAACTAGTTTAAAAATATATAAAACTAGAAAATTTTTGTGCATGATTGCATTTTGACTGCTGTTTTCTGAATTTTGTAATTTGCTATAAAGTATTTTACATACCTATTAAAAATCTATCAAAAAAATCATATCTAAAACTTATTTTAAATATTTTTTTTTCCAATTTTTGTTCAGACTGTCATTTTAATGAAACAAAAACATTTCGTGAATTAATACAAAAAAACAATATTCAATCATTTTCATAACTACTCGAAGTCTAACTTAACTTTTAACTGTATTTTATCTTTTTTTTGTAAATTACTTTGCAAATTTTATTATTAAAAGTAATATTATTTTGTTTTTATCGTACTTTTGATTGCATTTTGCAATTAATTAAATTTGCTCACAAATATAACGTTTGCACCTTATCTTATCTACTAGTTATTAATCATTAAATAAAAATAAAATCAGATTATCTCTAATATATGCTCAGCATTATTAATTTCAAAATGTTTACTGAATTCCACAAATATTTTACAGATTTTCACATGTCCAACTTATACAATTATTTTTCGATCATTTTATCATTGTTTCTGCGTTTCAGATGAATCAGAAAGTCCAAGCAACGTATACGATACTGCGGTAATACAGTAACTGTCAACAGCGGATTCAGAATCTAGAAGAACTATGATTTAGCACTTTCAATAAAATTGTAACTTAGCAACAAATATTTTTAATATCTTTTTTTAAATAAATCATTGCAGTAGTAATAACTATTAATACTTTATTTGACATGAAAATTAGATCAAACGAAAAAATTGAATATTAAAGTTATTAACAAAATTTGTTTTAAAAAAATGATAAAACTTTTTCGACTTTATTTTTGAGCAAATAATGTATAATTTTTAAAATGATCACACGTAACTGTTTAAAAAATTAGCGAATTTAATATAATACAAAATGCTTATCTATCCTGTTTACAAATTCAAAAATTTGAATATATTCTTTAAAATTATTATTCAAAAAGCCTCACATTTTTTTTAAATTCAAAATTTTAATACAATTTTGCTTGCTTTATCAGTAATACTACATTTAAATGTGAGACTTAAGTGCTAAATTCCGCAGTGCTAATAATTTCCAAAAATTAGGATCTAAACTAAATTTTATATTATTTCCGGCAATTTTTGTCGTGCTATAATACTAACCGGATTTAAATCCATTGCATAATAAGTAAGTATACTGATAAAAACACTGATACACGTCCTGATTTCAGTATCCTTATCAATAATTGTTCGATATAATGTCACCAACCGATACGGTGTCAACGTAAGCACCGTAAAAATAGTAGAAATAAAAATGAAATAAAATGTGCGCATTCCGGATTTTATCGCTGTACTTTTTCGTGAACCACTAATAGCATAAAGCTTCTGTTCTAAATAAGCAATAATTTGAACCTTTAATTTTTTTTGTATTGAAATTTTCACGTCACAAGATGTACAATAATTGCAACCAAAAATTGTAAAAAATTTTAAAACCGATAAATTTGCTCATAATTATATTAATTATAATTATGAGAGATTTTTAAATAATTCATGTTGTAAAGCAGGCAAATTGGATACTTCATTATTTATCAATATTTGCAAAATGAAAAATGTATATACTTTTTAGAATAAACCTGATAGATTTGTAAAAAACTGACTTTATAAATAAGAAAATAATTATTGTAATAATTATCGTTATCTGCTTAAGTAGATCAAAAGTATTTTCTCATTTAAAAAGTTTAAATTATTGTAAAAAAAAAGAGAGGACATAGTTGACACAAATATTGCTTAAATTAAATCAACAATCAATCAATTAATTAATTATTTGATTAACCTTCAGCAATATGTTTCTTATGCATATTAACAATGCGTAATAAATAAAGCGCGACCATAAGTGAAGAAAGAGCGGGAAAAGCGGAAACGAAGAATGTAAATAAGAGGTACATTAATGGACCATAACGACTATTGTCAGTGGTAAGTCGTTCACAGTTATATCGACAAATGAGAGCTCTTGTATGGAAGGCCAGATAAATAAAAAGTGTGCTCAGAATCCACGTACTACACGCCATTAGATACGCTCGATTTCGCGTGATTAATTCGGCATATCTAAAATTTAACACAGTGAATTGTATATTTAAATTTTAAAAAAATTAATAAGAGAATTTGATAATTTTTCTTAAGAATTAGATAAACCGTGAGTATTTCATATAGGTTAACAAAATTAAAACAAAATTTTTATTCTGTGCTCGCATATCAGAAGTAGAGACAAAATTAAGAATATAAAATTTCATTCTTAAATTTGATTCACAAATTTTTGTCACAAATTTATTCTTTTATTCAATTTTTAATTAAAGGTTATTCAAAGAAAAATTCAAGAAATTTCTCTGTACAGAATTAAGATGTGAAATGAAATTGCCTCAAAGTCAATTTAAATTTGATCTAACTTCTGATTTCTTCGATGATCAAATTCGGATTTGGTTAATTTCAAGCTTTTTAGAAGATATTCTTAATTCTATCAAACCAAGTTACTTATTAAGCAGTGCATACTGTAACTTATTGCTCGATTATTTTTGATAAAAATAATCTATCTATAATATTGACCATAAAAATATGAATTTTTAGATATTTACCAAACAAAAATAAAAAATTACTTTCAAGAATTAACTTAAAACATTCTTAAATTATAAAATAATTTTTTGATACGTTATTTTTCAAAATTTTTCTATAATCGTCATTTTTAAAAATTTTTGATATAATTACACCAATTAAATTATTTATTTGTTTTTTAGAATAAAAAAAAAATAAAACCTTAGAGGAAATTTGAAAAAGATTAATTTGTCAATGTTCAACAGAACCAAGCTCAATCCTGATACCGAAGTTCCCAACCACAGTAAAAAATGCATCATTAAATTCACATGGTATGAAAATTGTATTCTGATCGTTTCCATGTCAATCAAAAATTCCATTGGTAATGCAACACCAAAAAATTGTAAATAAAAATTAGTACTTTTTAAGTAGTTAAATTTTTCAATAAAAAATTAATAATAAAAAAAACTTGGTAAAATTTATAAACAAATTTTTTAAATGATAGCAATTAAATGTATACTAACCAGTTAGCATGAAATCAGCTAATGTCATATTAAGTAAAAAAATATGCATATAGCATTCGCTTGCATGACGACGAACATATCGTAGAGCATAAATTATTACAATTATTTGTAAGCATACTGATAAAAAACACATAAATAGTAATATGTGCATAATAATTGCATTAGCATTCGTAATTGTTATCTCATCAATTCTCTGCAATAAAAATATTTATTTTATATTAATTTATTTTATCAAATTAAAGCAAAATCAGTAATAGAAAACTTAATTAAAATACTTTCAAAAATGTAATATACATATTTAGAAGTGCTTAGAAATAAATTAAATTAAAAGCAACTTAAATATGAAATTGAAGAAAATCATTACTTTTTATTGTATATTCAATAAATCTTAAAGTTAACTCACTAAATTTTTTAAATTAAAAGTAATTTAAGCAAAAGTTGTTAATTTTATTAAAACTAATGATCTTTCCCGTATATTATCTAAATTTGCTTTTATTAAATATACAATTAAAATGTAAGGTTTAAAATTAATTCATGGAGTTGGGATTATTTTGCATAACTTATTAATTATAATTTTGAAAGGTAGCTAGAAAGTATGTACAAAAGTATTTTTTTCTTTTGTATGTAAATAATGTCTATATGAAATATACAAAAACAATACTTACGTCACTTTCAATGCACTGTTTTATAATACTTCCATTATTGTTATTGTTGTTACTATTATCACTGTTAACCATCTTTTTTTTTCCAAAATTATCTTTAATCTATTCGATTACTTATCATTTATTTGAAGTAAATTATTTGATTAATATCATTTTGCATATATTATATTGAAATATATGAGTATAGTCCTGAAAAACATTTTTTATGACAATAATTATTACGGATAATGTGAACACCAAATTGGTAGATAAAATAGCTTAAGCAACCATTACACCTTATTATGGGTATTTCATATAAAACCATTGCACCAATAAATAATATATTTTGAATTATTCTGCCCAATTAGTTAAATTAAATTGTAATACCACAAATTAGTTTCATTTCTATAAATTTGAAAGATGATGCGTATGAATCCATATTATATTAGCTAATAATGTGATCACATTGAGTTAATATTCAAATTGTCAGACTTCCGAAGAGCGAAAATTTTAGGAATATAATATTCCTCCGAAAATACTAAGCATATATTTGAGAAAGCATTGGCACAGCTTATTCTATCGATAGCAGTAAATAATATCAGAATAATACCAAAAAAAGCAAACGAAAACACTTAACAAATTAAAACGCTTAGCAATTTTCATGAAATCAGAAGTCTAAACAAATCTTAAATTTTGATTCCATTCATGTCCACAACTTATAATACATTACATTTATTAGTTTCTTAATTACTCTGTATTAATTATTACAATAATATCAGTTTTTAATTTCTCTAACTCTGTGTGTGAGGGAAAAAATTGATGCAAACACAGAAAGCTTTGCATGGATTGATAATTTTCGTACTTCAGCCTTACATGGTGGTGGTATAGAGTGTTGGAAGTTGATCGAAGTGTGAAAATTTTTCCATAAGTAATTCATATTTCATTGTGTTTTACTTTTAATATAAATGCAAAGAATTATGAAGAAGAAAAAAAAAGCAAAGTAAATAACAATATATTATTTATTTATTTATTTATTTATCAAATTTCAAGTTATTAAGCTATCTAAGTTATTAAGTTAATTAATATTGAAACACGTAGATATTTATATTATTAATATTATAAAGCTGTAATACTGCTGCTGATTTGAAAACTTGAAATTTAAACTAATTATGGAATGTCAAAAAAAAAATTTAAATTCAATACAGTAAATAATCACTCTCATTACTTCTCATAATAAAACAACAACAATAATAAATGTTTGTTTATTAAATAAAATTGTCATTACAAAATATTTAGTAAAATTAATAAATATGTAATAAATTGCTATATACTTTTAATTTTATTAAAACAGTATTTAATAAATAAATACGAAACTAATTTATATGTAAAAACGCTAATAACTTTTTACTTAAATGTAGAAAGAATTTTTTACTTAAATGGCCAAAAAGAAATTTCAATCTTCTAACTTTTGCAAGGATAGATTGCATGAAATTGAAAAGTGCAAATTTGAAAAAAGACAAGATTTCCCGAAAAAATATCTCGATGCTCAAATCGACTCATTTAAATATATTGACAATTGATATTTTTGCAAATCAACCAATACATTCACATATATACAATCAATAAAGTACTTTTTAACATACAAGTTGAAAATTTTGACTTAGAAAGATGATTAGTTCGATAATTATCGATGCATTTTTATTTTGAATTAAATATTTTGGCAATTGATTGAATATCAAATCTAATAATGAAAAAAATTTGTACTGATTAAAAACGCTGATCATTATTGATTAGACAATTAAATCAAAATTTTCATTACTATATCAAGCAAACGCCATGTTAAAAATGATCAATTCTGTTGGGCAGTTTTATATTCTGGCCTATAAATAATAGATCAAGATGTCATACTTCTTCTACGCTCAAAACATATCGTAAAATTGTCTAAACATAACTTCCATGTAGTAAAAATTATACTTTTAACTACTTTGTAAAGCAAAAAATTATATTATTTAATTATTAAACTTTGATTGACTGAATTTTTGTTAATTTTTATGCTTCAAAATAATTTATATAAAAGGATATTTGTTATATACATCAAGAATTCGTAACAAAAAACGTTACTAAATATTTTTTTAAGACTAATTTGAAAAGTAATCATAAAAAAAAATTATAACATTTAAAAAATTGCGCTAGAAAACTGATTAGTTTAATGAGTAACATTTAGATATATTAATTAGCTCTCAATTCAACTCCAGTAATTCCAATTTGTGCTAGAAATAATGCTAAACTTCTTCCATTATAATTAAAAAGCGTTTTGATTACTAGATTTAAGAAGCATAATTGTAATATAGAGAAGTACAATTATGACAGTATAAGTAAAGAGTAAATAATGATACAAAGTTATATTTTTCTTTAATTCTTTAATCGTCAATACTAAAATTAGAATAAAAAGAATAAATTAAAAGTTGTCGAAAATCCAAACAAATAAATTTAATTGAAAAATATATTAATTATAATTTTAAACTACTGTCAATAATTAAATTAATTAAAAAAAGCATTGTATTATATTGTTGTATAGATTTTAAATGCTTAATTATTATTATGTCCTGAAATCTGAAAATGTTATAAAAAATTTACAATATTGAAACAATATTTTTTACTTTATTATAGCAAATAATAATAGCGTCACATTATTTATTCAAACTTTTTGCATTATTTTATAAATAAAAGCAACAATTATTTCAAGCATAAATTCTTTAATATAATATGACGTAGCGTGAAATGATGACACGCGTAAATAAAACAAATAACGTCAAGCTACAGCTACGTTTTTACTTTTATATTTAACTATAATCCCAATTTGTATATTTTATGCTTGCAATTATTTTTTGCATTTTTTTAACTTTTTAAAAATGCTTTGGCTTCGACTAAAAAGTTGTAAAGAATTATGCATTGCAATAATTAGAATTTTATATGACAAAAGCAATAATAAACTTAAAATTTGCATAAATTTCTATCCTACAAGCTTTGCTATGAATAAATCAATTACTTTTAATAAACAATTTTAGCAATTTGCGTAATTAAAAATTCTGCAAAATGCATAATTTACTCATACACTCATTTTTGTTACAAACTATAAAAGTAATTTTTTAATAATTGAAACTAAAAAATAAGTAGTTCAGTAATTAATACGTATCAGTTTTACTATATCCAAAATGAATGCAAGCACTCAGTTGATAATAACTGAATAAATAATGATTACTCAAAAATTGATCAGTGTTTATTCTAACAAATTAATAACATAAATATTGTAAGTATTAGCGATTGCTTGAAAAAAAATATTTAAGCAAAAAATTCTTACTGATTTATGCAAATATTACTTTTAGCAGATTTTATTTTTGTGGCAAAATTGACAGCAAACTTTATTACATTGATAAATGAATTCAAAAAAAAGACTAAAATAAAATTTATCCGCAATAACGTTTTCAAACCAAATATTTAATTCTTTCAGCTTTCATATCCTTTTTAAGCTTAGCAATTTCATTTCAGCCAAAGCTTTTCTAAGCAGTTTTGCTAAATATATTTTTATCAAAAATATAGGCTCCAGTGCTAAAAAAATATTATCTTTAATAAAAGCTATTTTTATACACTTATTCATAAAATATAACACTAAATACTGCTTTGACATCTGATCACTTTGAAAAAAATTATTATCACAAAAATTGTTTTTTTGATCACTGTAAATTTTCATCAACATTCATGCAATCAAACTTATACACAGTATAATTAAAATATATTTTGACAAAATATTACAGTGTAACATTATTTAAAGCATTTTCTGGCTAGAAGAACATACCAACACAATATCATTTATAAATTCATTATTAATTTATCAGTATTTTGTAGTATTATTTGTAAAAATTAATTTTCAGAAACAATAACGCTACTTGAAAATATTACATCAAATTGAATTGATTATCAGATGGTTTCTTTTAAAAATAGTTATTTGATTAGGTGAATAACTATTCCAAACTAGCTTGATAGTTAGATAGCAATTTTAAATAGTTCTTTTTAAGTTTTGTGGAATAAGAATAATCATATTTGTTTTTGAAAGATAAGTTATAATACATTAATGTAATTATAAATCTATAAATCAAAGTTTTAAAAAACAAATATGCCGATTTTACTTTATAAAGTTTATCAACGATCTCTTGTAAAATTTAAAATATTATACTTTTAGCAGTTCTAATTTTTAGTTCATCGCAATATAAAAAGCTGAAGCGAACAAAACGTCAGTAAGAACTCAAATTGATAATCGAACACTTGAAGCTATTTGCAAAATTTAAAAAATATGATTTTTAAATAAACCCCAAAAAATTCATTTCATGTGTGATTGAAAGTTTCAATATGATCGCAAATGAATTTGTTCATATTCCAAAACTGAAACTAATTTTTATACTAAAAGGCAATCACAGAGGGTTATATAACATAAAAAAATAGCAGAAGTTGA